TCTGAGACAGCTGGCATTATCTTGAGTTTTGCAATTGTTTAAACAGATAAGGCAAATACATTATTTGATTTCTGTAGAAATTAATTAAGTATGCATGCTACTGCTAATCATCTAGTAAAATACTAGTCCATTTTTCTGGGTAGAAAATAACCTAGTTGAAATGATGACCAAATGAAATATATGTAAGTCCTAAGAAAATTATTTCAATGTTTCTCAGTCAGCTTTGAGGCATATAATCTAATACATCCAGTAAAAATAATGTTTATTTCATTACGGATCTACTTAAGTAAGATCATCCCTGGTAATATTTGATTATATGGCAGACATTGTGAATTTCACCTTGTTGGTGCTGGATATTTTTGTTTTCCTATAAATATTCTTGAGCTTTGTTCTGGGACAAAGCTAAGTTACTTGGAGATAGATAGATAAAATGATCCTTTTGGGTCTTGCTTGTAAGGTTACTTAGGTGAGACCAGGGCAGTGTTCAGTCTAGGGCTAAGTATTTCATAATTCTTACACAAGACCCTTTTGAGTACTCTATCAATCCCAAGAATCATGAGTTTTCCCAGGTTGGCTGGTGGGAACAGATACTATTCTCAGCCTCGTACGGGTTCTGAGTACTGTTCTCTGTAATGCTTTTAGGTAGTTCTTTCCTGGCTTTGGATAATTTCTACACGTGCTTCTGCTGATCAGTACTCTGTCAGATACCTTAGGGGAACCCTGTGTAGATCTCTGGAGTTTTCTGTCTGTGAAGCTCTCCCCTCTCTGATATTGTGCCCTGGAACTCTAGCCACCTTGGTCTCCCCAGACTCTGGCGAGAGTCTTCACCGCACTGGTTCTACTCTGTGGCCTGCAGCTTTCAGCCTGTCACCAGGCACTAAGCTGGGGCTTCTCACTTGTTTCCCATCTCTCAGGGGCCACTGTCCTTGTTGCTGATGTCCAGTGTCTTGGGAACTGTTGTTTCATATATTTTGTCCAGTTTATTAGTTATTTGAAGAAAGAGGATAAATATAGTCCCTGTTATTCCATCTGGCCAGAAGCAAACTAATGTTAGATCAAATCTTAAAAGAATATTGATCTTTTAGTTTAATTTTCCAAAACATAGGTTAAGAGTTTCTGTTAATATTATCTCTAAATGAGATTATATTTTAGGGAGGGAGGCCTGACTTAATCTACATGGAACCAGATGATTTCTTAATCTCCTCCAGCTATAAAACGTGTTGTGACATGTCTTTTTATTAATTTTAGAAGTAGAAAGTAGAACTGTGGTTACTAGAGGGAAGAAGCAGGAGGGGAAAAGAGGAGGGGGAGGGAGAATAGTGAAAGGTTGGTTAATGGATGCAAAACTACAGCTAGATAGGGGAAAAACAAGTTCTGTTGGTGTACAGTAGTGCTAGGCATCTATAATTAACAATAATTTATTGTATGCTGTCAAATGCCTAAAAGAAAGGAGCCTAAACGTTCTTATCACAAAGAAATAAATTTTTATGATGATGAGTTTGCTAACTACCCTGATTTTATCACTACACATTCTATACATGTATTGAAATATAACACCATACCCTATAAATATGTACAATCAATACATCTCAATTAAATTAAAAAATCTTTTTATTACATTTAAAGCAGTGCCTTAATGATTTTAATCCAGATGGTGCACAGTTGCTATATATTAAAATAATGACCTTTTGACCTTTTTTTTTTTTTTTTTTTACTTGATATCTCACTACGAAACTGGTAGTGAGGCATTACAAATTGTCTCTACACTGTTTTGGAAAACAAATTGCAACTATATATTAAAAAGCAAAAAATTGCTATATCCTTTAAATCATTAACCTTACTTGTAAAATTATACCCAGTGTAAATAAATACCTTAGAAGGTATGTAAAAAACTGTATCTCCAAAAATGTTAACCACTGTGCTAATTATAAGGGGAAAAAATGAAAATAATCTTAATATCAAAGTAGGTGCCCAATAAGGGATGAATACCCAGAATATATAATGAACTCCTACAGTTCAACAAGAAAACCAATTCAAAAATGGGCAAAGGACTAGAGTAGACATTTCTCCAAAGAAGACTCTACAGGGGCCGGCCCGGTGGCGCACTGCTACAGTGCACCGCTTGGGAGCGCGGCGGTGCTCCCGCCAAGGGTTCGGATCCCACATACAGACCGGTTCCCGCTCACTGGCTGAGCGAGGTGTGGGCGCAGCACCGAGGTTTGCGATCCCGTTGCCGGTCCCGGTCCGGTACGGGCGCGACACTGAGGGTTGCGATCCGTTGCCGGACACGAAAAAAGACAAAAAGGAAAAAAAAAAAAAAAAAAAAGAAGACTCTACAAATGGCCAATAAGTACATTAAAAGATACCGAATATCACCAGTCATCTGGGGAAGGTAAATCAAAAAGACAATTAGATATTACTTCACACTCATTAGGATTGCTATTATTAAAACAAAAACAAAACAGAAAATAAGTTCTGGTGAGAATGTGGAGAAATTTGATCATCTCTATAGACAGTGAAAAAGCATTTGACAAAATTCAACATTCGTTCATGGTAAAGACTCTCTACAAGTTAGGTATAGATGGAAAGAATCTCAACACAATTAAAGCCATATATGATAAGCCCACTGCCAACATCATCCTGAATGCGGAAAAGCTCAGGAACTAGACAACAGTGCCCACTCTCACCACTCCTATTCAACATAGCATTGGAAGTACCAGCCAGAGCAATCAGAGAAGAGAAAGAGATAAAGGGCATCCAGATTGGAAAAGATGAAGTCAAACTGTCCCTGTTTGCAGATGACATGATCCTATATATTGAACAGCCTAAAGCGTCTACAAAAAAAACTCTTAGTTGATAAATGATTTCAGCAAAGTTGCAGGCTACAAAATCACACAAAAATCAGTAGCATTTCTATACTCCAACAGTGAACATGCAGAAAAAGAAATCAAGAAAGCTGGCCCATTTACAATAGCCACCAAAAAAATAAAATACTTATGAATAAAGTTAACCAAGGATGTGAAAAATCTCTACCAAGAGAACTACAAACCACTGTTGAAATTAAAGAGGACACTAGAAGATGGAAAGATATCCCATGCTCTTGGATCGGAAGAATTAACATTGTGAAAATGTCCATATTACCCAAAGTGATCTACAGATTCAATGCAATACCCATCAAAATTCCAATAACATTTTTCTCAGTAATGTAAAAAACCACCTAGACATTTATGTGGAGTAACAAAAGACCATGCATAGCCAAAGCAATTGTGAGCAAAAAAAATAAAGCTGGAGGCATAACACTACCTGACTTTAAACTATACCACAAAGCTACAGTAAACAAAACAGCATGGTACTGGCATAAAACCAGACACGGATCAATGGACTAGAATAGAGAACCCAGAATCAACCCATACACCTACAGCCATCTGATCTTTGACAAAGGCACCAAGTCTACACACTGGGGAAGAGACTGCCTCTTCAGCAAATGGTGCTGGAAAAACTGGATATTCATATGTAGGAGAATGAAACTAGACCCATACCTCTCCATGTACCAAAATCAACTCAAAATGGATTAAAGAATTACATATACATCCTGAAACAATAAAACTCCTTAAAACATAGGGGAAACACTCCAGGAAGTAGGGATGGGTACAGACTTCATGAATATGACCCCCAAAGCACAGGCAACCAAAGGAAAAATAAACAGATGGGATTATATCAAACTAAAAAGCTTCTGCACAGCAAAAGAAACAATCAACAGAGTGAAAAGACAACAAACAGAGTGGGAGAAAATATTTGCAAAATATACATCTGACAAAGAATTAATATCCAGAATATACAAGGAACTCAAACAACTTTATAGCAAAAAAAAAAAAAAACAATTAAAAAATGGGCAAAGGAAGTGAATAGGCATTTCTCAAAGGAAGATATATGAATGGCCAACAGACACATGAAAAAAATGCTTAACACCACTCAGCATTCTGGAAATGCAAATCAAAACCACACTGAGATACCATTTCATTCCAGTTAGGAAGGCTAATAAGAGAATGAGAATGATAAATGCTGGAGAGGTTGCAAAGAAAAAGGAACTCTCCTCTACTGTTGGTGGGACTGCAAAATGGTGCAGTCTTTATGGAAAATGGTTTGGAGGTTTGTCATACAATTACAGATAGATCTACCATATGACCCAGCTATTCCACTGCTAGGAATATACCCAGAGGAATGGAAATAATCATGCCAAAGGGATACCTGTACTCCAGTGTTTATTATAGCACTATTTACAATAGCCAAGAGTTGGAACCAGCCCAAATGGATGAACAAAATGTGATATATACATACAATAGAATCACACTCTGACACATGCAACAGCATGGATGAACCTTGAGGACATTATGCTAAGTGGAATAAGCCAGACACAAAAGGACGAAGACTATATGATTTCACATACATGAGGAACTCAGTGTAGTCAAATTCACAGAGACAGAAAATAGAATGGCGGTTGCCAGGGTCTGGGGTGAGGGGTGAATGGGTTTTATTGTTTAATGGGTAGAGTTTTTGTTTGGGATGATGAAAAAGTTCTGGAGGTGGATGGTGGTGATGGCTGTACAATGCTTTAAGTGTTCTTAAAAGTGTACACTTAGGGCCGGCCCGGTGGTGCACTGGAGAGTGTGCCGCTTGGGAGTGCGGCGGCGCTCCCACCGAGGGTTCGGATCCCATGTGGAGACTGGTTCCCGCTCACTGGCTGAGCGCGGTGCGGGCGCAACACCAAGGGTTGCGATCCCATTGCCGGTCCCCGGTACGGGCGCGACACCGAGGGTTGCGATCCCGTTACCGGTCAGTAAAAAAAGACAAAAAGGGAAAAAAAAAAAAGTGTACACTTAAAAAGTTGAAATGGTAAAAAAAATAGGTACCTAGTTAAGTAAATAATTCACATTCTAGAAAAGAATGACCTTCGGAGTGCTGACCAGACAGTCAACACCCCCACTCTTCTTCCTCTTTAGGAGTGACACATGCGGCCATCTGGGCAGCATGCATTTCTTACCTCAGTGCGGCCGTCCCTCCTGAGCTGAGGACGTCTGCCCAGGGCATCCTGCAGGGCCTTCACCTGGGTCTGGGGAGAGGCTGTGGTGCCATGATCGGAGGCGTGTTAGTCAATTATTTTGGTAAGAATTGCTATTTTTTTCCTTTTTTTTCATGAAAAATCATTTTTCATCCACACCTCAATAAATTGAGAAATCAAATTACTCCTGAAGATCACCAGAAGCTAAACTCCAGTATCCATGTTCTCTTTCTACATCTCCTGGTAGTCATAATTGGAAATATTAAAGTGATTAGGGGCAGCCTGTAACTGTGCACACTCCTCTGACAAACAGCTTAGAGATGCTACACAGATACCTCCCAGGAGCCAAACAAGTGAATAAGCATATGTGATTTTTAGTGTGAAGTAAAGTACCCTAAACCTGCTGATAATAATGCTAAAGAAAATTCACCAGTGTTATTCCATCAGGAGATTTTGAACTGGAAAAATATCACTGGTAATGTCACTGCATCCATGATAACAGAATCTGCCTTGTCTGATCTCTCTTACTGAGAATATAAGGGCTGGGTGAAAATGAGATTATTCTGTCCCAGGGATCTTGGCTGCTCAGCCATCTATGGAAGGTGGGCTCAGGGATGTGTGAATTTATAGCACTATTTGAGCTCTGCTCTTCCAACTACAGATTAATACAGCTGTTTGTTAGTAGTCAGGTAAATGATCTTTATGAAGAGGAGAGCACTACTGAATTTTATGTGTCATGGTGAAAGGCACTCAGACAATCCTTTATAAAAGCAATTTTATAATTGATCAACAATAGATCCAATACCAGCATCTGGGTCTTCTGACACCTACCCACCCCTGTGCTTTTCCCATTATATAGAGCTAATGGGCAGCCACTTTCCTCTGGTTCATCCTTTGCCTTGAGCTTTATGAGAACATGGACAGTTATGGACGAGGGCTATCTGCATTTCCTGGAATTACTCTGTGGAGTGCTCTGTTTGTTTTCACAGGGGCTGCTGCGACCTTCCGAGGAATTGGCATGGCCTGCCTGGTGATCCTTCTGCTCTTTGCCCTGATCCAGTGGCTGGCAGTGCCAGAAGAGGATGAAGGTAAACATTCCCATTCTTCCTTGATGGTGCTAACAGTTCAAGCCTTGGGGAATTCTACACATGCCCCTCAGAAACCCAGAAGTGGTAACAGAGTGTATAACAGGCCTACTTGGCTAGATTTTCAGGGCTGTATCGATGAACTCATGTACTGTTGTTAGAGAAGAGCCACCTACTATGTTGAAAAGAATACTGGTTATTTTCAGTAGCTTGGGGTTTTCTTTTGTTTTTTACTGGCAAAGTATTAGTTTTAAATTTCTCTGATATTCTAAGGGGATTTCAAATTTAAGTCAAATACATATAAGGCTATTCAGTAATTCTACTAGTAGGATAGGGAGTGGTATTAAAATTTCTATGCCTTTATCTTCATTTGGGGGGGAAAAAAGGGCTAAACCTGAAAAGTGAAGTTTTCCCTGAACCAGACATGGCCTTTAATAAAATTGTTTTATAGAAGGGAAGTTATATTAACTATGATGTATACATGAGACCAAGATGAATCAACTTTTTAATGAAAAAGGCCAACCAGTAGAGTAGAAGTATTCTTGCTCAGCACTTTGGTCCCAGAACAGGCCTCATCTTCTTTGGGTGTCCTATCCTTTGAGGAGCATTGGCCTCAAGTACCTGAAGTGCTTCTGTTAAGAGAAAAACTAGCTTGTTACAGAAACCCCAGAGACAGATTTTAATCCCAGTGAGTTATTCAGGAAGATTGACCAATACTGGTTTTTCTCATTTTTGTTCTTTTATAATTCTAACTGGATCATATCTCTTACACAGCTTCAGTACATGCGGTCTATAAAAGACCCATAAAAAATAGCTATCGTGTTTTTTTTCTGTCTTGATGTATATCTTTAAAATTGCAATCCTGCAAATGGGTGTAAGGCAACATTCACTATAACCTATGCCCCACAGATGTTATATCTAAGTTAAATGAAAAACAAAGTAAAAAAAAAAAAAAGATTAAGCCTTATAAGGAGATGCTGAAAGATAAAAATCATGTTCACTTGCTCAGTATTTGCACCAAGTAAAGTCGTCCTTGGTAAACAGAAATTAATGTTGCCATGCACATTAGAATGTTCTTATGGAATTGTCAGTTTTTTAATTTTTTAACCTTTGTTTAAATATGTAGAAAACCTGACAAATTATTTAAGCATTATTTTCTCTGCAGACAAGACAATGTTGGCAGAAAGGATTCCTGTTCCCTCCAGTCCCGTTCCCATAGCAACCATCGACTTGGTACAGCAACAGACAGAAGATGTCATGCCACGCATTGAGCCCAGACTTCCGCCCAAGAAAACCAAGCACCAGGAAGAACAGGAGGATGTGAACAAACCAGCCTGGGGGGTCAGCTCTTCTCCCTGGGTGACCTTTGTCTACGCACTCTACCAAATTAAAGAGATGATGCAACTAGCAAGAGACAACCGTGCTTCTGAGATACAGCCTTTACAGGTAAAGTTCCTCTGCTGGGCTAGCAATATCACCTGTCACTGAAGAGTCCTTAAGTGGGCTCGCTTATTTTAATTATTCATTGTTCATCCAACAAGATTTATCGAAAGTCTGATATGGGAAATAGACATACAAATAATTTCAGTGTTCTGTGATAACTGCATTATAGAGATGTGTACAAGGTCCCATAGAGGGAAAATTCTGCCTTATGGAGTTCAGGAAGGCTTCACAGAAGAGACAGTACTACTTGGAAGAAACAAACAATACATTCTGATCTTGTATATTTCTTTAAAATTTTAGTGTTGATGGATACCAGTTACAGTGAAAATATATGGTTCTTGCCTTTGAGGACCATATTTATAAATCTCTGTAATTCCAGAATTCTAGTGGGGAATTATATTATATAATATATAATAGGACCACAATGAATATTTTTTGAATTAATTAATTAACAGCCTGAGCCCCTGGGTCTGATAGAACACGAGACTCAGTGGAAGAATGGTTTTGTGGATGGCCTCAACTGAAAAATAAATTTAAAAGTATGGGCCGGCCCGGTGGCGCACTGAGTAGAGTGCGGCGCTTGGGAGTGCGGTGGCGCTCCCGCTGAGGGTTCCGATCCCATATAGAGACCGGTCCGCTCACTGGTTGAGCGCGGTGCGGGCGCGACACCGAGGGTTGTGATCCCATTACCGGTCACGAAAAAAAGACAAAAAAGGAAAAAAAAAAAAAAAGTATGATTTTTCTTGTCCCTATAGAGGTGGTCACTCCTGAGTAAAGTCAAATCATGTTGATAAAACAGTGTGGGTACTTATGTAACTACAGCTGTGTCCTGATGTTGGAAAATGAGTGTGACTTCTAAATCCACTTCCCCCCTTTTTATATTAATCACTCCCTTTTACCAGTTATGTTAGCTCTGTATCTAGAGTTGCTTCAGAGGACACATCAGGAAAAAAATAAAGGGAAAAGACTTAAAAACAAAGGGTATTTGGGTAATTTACCTTTTAGAAAATTTGTTGAGCTACCTTAATTAAATTTGTTTTGACTTTATAAACTAACAAAATCTTTATGTATTTTAAATCAAATCTGATTCTTCACTGATAACCATATGCATGCTGGTCCATGCATGACTCTTTATTTATCAAGATAATAAATTCACATGAATTCTCTGCTCAGTCAAGAAATAGATATCATGGTGGGGGAAGCACATAGAGATTTTAATACCTCAATGCAGAGAGGCGAAGCAAGAGAAGGGATATCTGCTGCTTGAGTGATAATGTTTTTGTTACTTTGCATACTCATCCTCATGTCCACAGAAGCCTGTTAGGCCTAAGTAGCATTAAAAAAAATTTTCTGGCATGTTAAGATTAGTAAAAACTGGAAGGTATGGCATAGTTATTCTCTTAAGAAGTCATTTTAGAATCAATCACAGAAATAAAACCTTTTTTTGGTGCTCACCTATTGGAAGTGATGGGTACTAACTCAGAGAAAAATCCATTTTTAAAAAAACCATTTCCTGGCTTGTAAAGCCAATATGGCACTTTACAGAAATTGCTGTGGGTGATGTACTAGAGCAAGTATGTATAGTGACAGTCACTTAAAGTGCTTGTTTACATTCTCTTTTTTATGTGGATGTTCTCTCTTCCTTAACTTGTAGTCTATTTTGAAATCCCAAGTATACATTAGTACTCTTACTTATAGGACTTTCTTTTCCTGGTCCTGTCTCTAAAGCCGAGAATCCTTTATTTACTGTTAGACAGTGTCTTCCAGCTCTTGAGTTCTATAGTCTTAGCAAGTGGCCTGAGTTTCAGTTATTCCCTGTTGCTTGCCCAGTGACTTGCCATGTGGCTGGGGGTGCTTGTAAATATTTGCTGATGTAAATTGTTTGCCTAGTAGTAACAGTCCTTTATCCACACGGTACATCTGCTTATAGTGTTTATGTTTTTCATGCGGCTCTGGCAGTTGCACATTGGAAAAGAGATGAAAGGTAAGACATTCTATCCTTATTCCTCTATCACGTGGCCCCTGAAATGGGCACTTCAGGATGATTTCCCCTTGTTTCATTATCTTACTTAAAAGCATATACAAAAAGTTGGATTTATCTGCTATCACTGACTGTGGGGTATCTTCTGTTTTTTCCTTCCAGGGGACCAGTGAGAATCAGGAAAATTCTCTAGCTGGTAGAGCCCATCCCATTGCATGTGAGACTCACTCTGACCCATCTAGAGACCAGCCATCCCCTAATGCAGACCAGACACAGACCAGCCCCACTCAACCCGGTGTGGATCCACGCGTGGAGAAGAGTGCCGGGCAGCAGGCTCAGCCTGCCGCAGGAGGACACTGAGGGCGTCCTGCTCATCTCACACCCTGCATGGAATTGGGCTCCTTGGCCAGGACACAGAGGGCAAGGCCCCCAAGCCAGGACATGCTTCCTCCAGAGGAGCACAGCACTGCATACGCTTCTAAGTATCTAAACTCATTAACATGGAAACACATACACACAGGAGCTACAGTACATATTGGCAAGGAAAAGGTCAACTTCATAATCTCATTGGAAGTACAGAAGGGAAAAGGATGTCAGTGAGGACTCTCCGTTCTTTGACTGGTTAGGTTAAACTAAAGAGGACAGGACTTCTCTGCCAGTGCAGTAAGAGTTGAAACTAGCAGTTACACTAAGTGGAGGAAATGAAAGTGTTCCAAGGTGAATGTTGATATAATTTCCTTCTTCTGATTATTTATTCTAATTATTTGATTCTTAATGCAAACTGGGAGGAAACAGAATACACCCATAATAATTTTGTTTCTGTAGAAGAAAACCATTTAAAAAATTACAAGAACTATTTAAAAAGTAACCAGATAAAAGTAGCATGTTTTTGTCTAAAGAAAAAAGTTAAGTTTCATCAGAAACTTTGCATATCTCTAGCAAATATATTTTTATATGTATGTGGTATATAATGAAAATAGTCAATCCTTTGAGCAGCAAAAGGTTTTACTACTGCAAGCTAAGCTGAGCTTTAATATGCCTTTTGTTTTAAATGGGCTTTAAGAATGACCAGAAATGAGGAAATATTTCAAATAAACCAACCAACTCAGTATCCTGTGTCTTGATAGGCAATAGGCAAGAGTTTACTAAACATATTGACATTATAAATAGCCTCTATCACTGTTTATTTTATAGTGATGTGGGCTCTAATTAGCTGATGGAATAAAAAAAAAATCACTGAATTCTTGAGGTTTCCTTTAATTAAAGCAGTACTATTTACAAATAACAGTATAAGATTTAAGTGCCTGGGAGAGAAATACAATTTTTAAAAATTACACAGTACATCAGTTTTGTTTCTGGTGAAGGGAAAAGGTAGTAAATAGGAAACCAGGAATGGGAGGGATGGGAATAAGAAGTAACTGTACTTTGCAATGACTCAAGCAACAAATCCCAGTATATTCTTTTCCCTTAAAGACACAGACACTGGACAGTTCAGATATGGATATGCAAAATATTGCAACTACAGTCAGAACAATGGCTGGGTGAATCACGCATAAAGCTTGCTGCTACACATGAAAATGCAGGTTAACAGGGAGGCTGTGGAAAAGGGAACACTGCTTTAGCTGAATGAAGGTTGGTTATATTGTGCATAATAGCTGTGGATGAGCACAGGAGAGAGGAAAGAAAAGAACAAAGTTAGAAATGAGCAACCCATCTTACCCTCTGATCCTGATACCCTCTGATCCTGATGAGACAGGATCAATTGTAAAGTGAGGGCTTCTCCATGACACCATACTTCTGCCCAATACTGCATCTGGGAGAAGAAATTCTACACTTGGATATCTAGCTTCACCACAAAACACAGCTTAAAAAATAAAAAACTGAAAGAAATAGAATTAAGCAAATAGTTATTTTTGCACTTGAACAGAAATGTACTGTACTGTAAGTTATCATGACTCATTTTAAGTGACCTTTAAAATCAGATGTATTTATTATGCTTGTGTAATTATAGATATAAAGCAATGGGTGACAGGTTGAACCTCACCTATGAATGTACAGTATGTGGATTTGTGAAACTGACTGTAGGAAATCAAACACTTATACTGTACCTTGTGTTTACAGTCCTGATTTATTCCTTTGAAAAGCTTGCTGTTTTGGAAATGCACAGTTGACATGTTGAAATAAAAAGATATACCATTTTTAAATATTTCTTAAATGATAAAGATGTGACCAAATAAAAGTCCTGTAATCTGTAATGAATGAGACCAAATTCAACACGTCTTTGTTACACAACATTTACTGTGAGAGCGGGCTTGATCATGCAGTAATTTCCAGCCTTTTGAGGTGAAACCTTTATGGGTTTGGGGACTTTGTGACATTTTCCTTCTGTCCTCAAAGTTCCATATGCCACTTCAAAAACATTAAAGTGAATTTAAATTGAATTTTGATTTGAGAATTTTGTAATCCCCCTGAGATCCCTGGAAATCCCCAGGGGTGTTACAAAGCCCAGGCTGGGAATCACTGCCTTAATGATTTATTTCCTACTCTTTCCCCTGTGATTGTAGAAACGGTAAATTACCCCAGAGTGCTGAGTGTGTATGGATCCAAAAAGGTTGCTGATTATTAAATTGTTCTTCAAAGCCTTAAGTAGAATAATAGATTATAATATATACATTGTCCAATAGGTGGTAAACCACATGAAAAGCCTAAGGAATTCACAGGAAGAACCATGCTGCTTTACTGGCTTATTATTAATCCTGTCATGGGTCCCACGAAGCAGACAGTTGGCTAAAACCTCCCTGATTTGCAGTTCTCTCCATCTCTGCTGGTGTGGGGATGCTGAGGGCCATTAAGCACTGTTCTTCTCAGCCAGTCTGGAGTGAGGCAGTGTATCTAGGGAATGTGGAACCACATTTATAGTTACTGGGTGCTTGTTGTGTGCTGATGAGATTATCATTTTGTCCTTAGAAAAACCATAGGTGCTTCATACCACTATTTCCATTTTAAATATGAGGATTCTGGAGCTATAACAGAGGTGGTTATGGGATCGTGGTCACAAAGCCAGGATTCAAACTCAAATCCTCCTGATTCCAAAGCCCCTGTCCATCCAGCACCTCCCCATACCCCAGGAGATGGAGAGGCCATTCCTCTTTTTTTTTTTTTTTTTTTTTGTGGTAGTGCAAGCCATGAAGCAGCCCTGGCCTGAACCATTACCATACATGCCGGATACATGTGTGTGTGTGGTTGTATTTCCATTTAGGATTTCTAGATATTCCCAGATACCTAGAGACCCAGCACCTTCAAACTCCTGATGCCAGATCATTTACCCTTTGGACATGACTTGGATAGTTTAGCAACTCTACAGAAAAAAACCAGAGAGGTTGGTAGAGATTTTGAAGACCAGAGCCACGGGAGTCAGGAAAGGCAAGCAAACCCACAGCTCAGTATCCTGAGGCAATGGCATTATTAGAGACTAGTACTGTCCAGTAGAACTTACTGGGAAGGTGGAAAGTTCTCTATTTGTGTTGTCCGGAACAGCAGCCATGAGCACATGTGGCTATTAAGCTCTTGAAATATGGCTAGTGCATCTGAGAGATTTCTAATTTTTGACAGCCACATGTGGCTCAAGGCTACAATACTGGACAGCACAAGTACAGAGGAAGAGATCACTCTTGGAGAGCCCTGGGCCTCAGTCTTCTCATCTTCAGATGAGGCTGGACCCTAAAATTATGTTCCTCTGTGAAGATGGGGGCATTCTTGTGACCAAGTTGACTGTAGGGAAGAAGGTGATTTTCCATTCAGAAGTTCTTCAGCCCTTTGGTGCATGGGGACAAGAGAAAAGCTACTTCTAAAGCCCCAAACCACTTCTGTGTTATTTCATCAAAGCTTAAAGAATACCCAGCTCAGGAATTCCAAACCACTGGGCAGTTTCAAGAGAGAGTACCTGGATGGGGACAGAATAAAGGGTGAGAGAAAGGTGGAGTGGCTTCACAGATCAGAAAGTAATTTGCTTTATGCCAGGACAAACTGGCTTATGACAAGAAAGTAATTGGAAACTTGCTGATGTCTAGAATGGGGAAAAAGAGAGCCAGTCCAGGTGGGCACCTAACTTTCACCCTGCTGCTATCTTCTTTGGGTAGCTAATACAGGACCACTGGCCCCACTTTGGCTCCAAGAAGATCCTGGTTTTTAGATGGAAACCCAGGGACCTCCTAGTGCTGGGGTGAGGAGTGTAGGATCTGGAGTCAGACTGTTTGGATTTGAGTCCCAGCTCTACCAGTGAGAACTTCCATATATCCATAACCTCTCTGGCCTCAGGGATCCCCTCGGTGAAGTTGAGGTGATGATGGTATCTTCTTTGCATGTTGTTTCGATGTTTAAATGAGATACCTGACAGACTGCATGCTCCATAAACACTGCCATTATCATGTGGCAAAGAGCCCAGGGCAGGAGGAGTACTGCCTCACTTCCCCAACCAGGGCCCAGCTCTTAGGATTCTGCTAACATTTAAATCTATAATCATATTCCATTCTCCCAAACTACAGTCCCATGCTGAATGTATTTGCCTATACCTAGTAAGCTGTATAATAAAGTGTTCAGTTCCAATCTGCACCGTAAACATTAAGTGGCTGGAGATAAGAGTTAGTTAAGAGATAAAATTAAGCAAGACATACGTTGAAGAGGATGGAAAGTAATGACGGTGGTTCCATAATGTGCAAAGTCTGCAGAGAGGGAGAGGCTATAAGACAGTTGTTCCATAATTTCCATTTTACTGTTTCTTCTATGAGAAGAAACAAAAGTAAACAAGAACTTTTTAATCATTTAAGAAATTATATACCATGCTGTTTCCTAAACAGTAAGCTGAGGATGCTAATCTTTTAAATTGAAAAGTTACATTCCAAAAAGGTCAGGAATTTTTTTTGATCCCCGAAAACATAAGTGGAGTCTCAGAAAAATAATACCTAGACCAGTGCTACTCAAAGTATGGTTGTGGGCTAGTGTTGTCCATAAACTTGCTGGTGTGTGACAAAACAGAAATTAAACATATTGAAATGTGTATGGCAATCTGACACTGCCATGACATCCTAGCACATGATCATTGGGCTTATTATTTTGTCTTTTTTTTAAGATTATTTATTTTCCTAATAATTTATTTTTGTGTACCTTACAAAAGTATTACTTGTAATGAACTGGGGGTTGGGAGGGAACTGGTCCATCACCCCAGTTTGAGAAGCACTGACCCAGATCATTGTCAACAGTATACATAGCTGCAAGGCCCATGTGATTGGCATGTTAGCATAACATCAACAGATGTAAGTCATTTCTGAATGCATTATCTGTGGGGCCATTTCCTTGACTAATTTTTTTTGAAGATAGCAATAAAGGAAGTAGAGGAGCATGGGCCCTGGACACAGACACACTGTGACTCAAATTCTGGTTCTGCCACTTTAGCCATATATATCCTTCAGCAACCTTTTCTTACCTTCGCTGAGTCTTCCCTCAGCTGTAAGATGGAAAGAATACTAAAGCATACCACAGAGTGGTTATGAGGTTCAAATGAAGAGGCACAGAAGGTGCCAAGTACAGTGCCTGATGCATCTACAAGAGATGTTGGTACTCTTCCCCCTTTTCCTTTTGTTCACAGCCTTTTTGGGAAAATGGGCCAAATCTAAAAAAAAAACAAACAGATCTCCCAGATTATTTAAATAATAAAGAGCAGTTATCCCACCAAATGCATCTTCCAAGGTTCATCCTAGTAAATATACCCTCATCCCAAATCTCTGGTAATCTAATAAGGTATCAATCACATTCAGGGACAACAGCAAAAATATGCAAAGTTACCTTAAAAAGACAACTTGACTCCTAGGCTGGAGAAAGACTGAAGATTTTACCACATCTGAGTAAAACATGCCCACCAGAAGCAGGTAGGATGATGGTCAATAACAAAAGATTACAAAAAACAGCAGTCACTGAAAGGAAAAGTTGGCAGGGCCTGTGTAAAGGAAGGGGTGGTGTTTGCCAACAGATTGGGTGTCTCATCCCCTTGGCAAGGCTAGCCCCACTGGGGGAGTGTTTGCATTAGACTCTTTGGCCTCATGACATGAAACGTGTGAACTATAAAACAAACTCCCTCTTTTCTGTTTCTATTCACCAAGCAAGCTTCTTATAATTTGACCCATTGTAAATCTGTCTTCTAAGAGAAAATCTGCTGGTCATATCAATTCAAGTATTTTTATCCTTATGTCAGTTATATTTTTGGCTATGAATCACTAAATGGACAGACTGTATGAAGTGCCTAATGGGAGACAGTTCTTCTTATGGAGCAATGACAAAAATCAGGGTTCTGAGCCGGTAAGGCCAAGAGTCATACCCAGATGGTCAACTCATCAACGTCATGCCACCCAGTAGTCTCTTAGAAGGCAGCTTGCTCCTGGGGCCACCTAAAAATACCTCTCTCTCTTACTGCAGGCTTCAAAATTTCACTTCCATTATGTTATCTATGCATAGAATCCTGCTTTCAGTTGGACAAAAAAAATACTAATTTAAAAAATTGTGCATCTTTAATTCTGGGGAATAATCATATACAGAATGATATAAGGCCCTATTATTTTTCATGACATCATTTCAGGGTCTTAATTCATCCACACATTTAGATATATTGATATAATCACTATCTATTCCAAACCTCTTAAAATCTACAATCTCTGAAACTTCCAGATTTAAAGAAAACCATAAATTCAAATATTGTCCTAAATGTCAGATGGACACTTGCCTGTAATTCAGCCTTCGGTATTACTGGCAAACTATACAGCTAATTCACAAAGCGTTTTTTTGGATATGTAAAATGTGTTTTAAAACCTTTTAAAAATAACATTTGAATGATATGATTGTTTAAGCATGGCCACCCACGCTACAACTCACCCACATATTTGCTGTCGAATAGTCTAACTTGCTAAGAACAGCGAGGCGCCTAGCATGAGCAGTAACACAACAAAGGGTTCCGTTATGCTCCATAATTGCACACCTATGGCAGCGTAAAGCACAAAGCCAACTTTCAACCACCCATGAAGGGCAGAGACATTTTATTGAATGGTCATTTAAACTGTTTAAAGGCCTTTAAAAAGAAAGGCAGGAGGGAGGCAGAGAAAAGAAGGTAGTGAAAGGGGGGCGGGGGAGGAAGGAAAGGAGGGGACAATCTCTCACAAGAGTTATTCATGCATTGCTTGATGGGGATTAGCATTGTGATCAGGGCTATAATAAACCCAAATCAAATGAAAACAACATAAATACACCCAAAATATCACAAGTAATGATTTTAATTGTTTAGCTTCTCACAGTGTAGTCACATAACAGAAACTGACAAATCTAAAAATAAACACAAAAAACAATATCCTGGAATACTGTTGTTCTTTTTCTCTTCCTTCAGCTGTTTTTATTGTGATTGTGATAGTTACACTGAGTGTGTTGAACCACCAGGAGTGGCCTCCTTCCATGGACAACACCTCTTCCCCCTGGCTTCAGGCAAGGCCCCCTTCCTGGCTGCGATGTCCCCTGGCAACTCCAGCAGACCGTTCCCATGTTATTCACACACATTTTTTATACTATACACACTACCTCTTCAGAGGTGAACTTGGTGAGCACAATCGTTGATACATCTGATACATTTATAATAACATATCACCAATAAATATAATTATAAAAAAACAGATTAAACAATAACAGAAGTGATTTAGAACTTCTGTTTACGCCTGTAAAATAGTCATCATCTTAAACCTCAATGGAAGATACATTCTTTGATTTTTTTATATCAAAGTCTATGTAGACTAAGATTAAATTTGGTAAATTTTACAAAAAAAAAAAAGCAAAGCTCCTAATATTAAAAGTTGTCTGGCAAAAACAGACTTGTAAACACTGACATACTGCTCCAAAGAGGAAACAGTATTTAAAAATCAATCTAGAAAGTTCCAAATGCATAGCCATGCTCTTATTTAATAATTTAGAAAAACCCTACTAAACTTGGCTCAGGAGAGCAGCAGTGCCCAAATTCCCTGTATGTCCCTCCCCCATAACCCTTCTTGTAAAAGGGGATTCCTCATTCTTTATGATCCCATTATAGCAAAAATGCCTGAGTTTGATTCTCAAGGAGAATCAATTTAGCAACATCTTAACGCTTAGGTGGTTTTGCCGTGTTCAAATCTTTTCTCAAATCTATGTTTTGGCCTCCTTTCTTCAGGGTCAAAGCTCACAGTCCCTTATTTTGCTCCAGAGTTTAACATCATGAATCAAGAAAAAAAGATTTGCTTTCTGTAAAAAAGATCACAAACCTATTTTGTACAAAACTGTTACAAACATATATAGCTAAACAATTTTTTTTTTTTTTTTGTCTTTTGTCTTTTTTCCGTGTCCGGCAACGGATCGCAACCCTCAATGTTGCCCCCGTACCGGACCGGGGACCGGCAACGGGATCGCAACCCTCGGTGTTGCTCCCGCGCCCCGCTCAGCCAGTGAGTGGGAACCGGTCTGTATGTGGGATCCGAACCCTCGGACGGGAGCGCCGCCGCACTTCCCAAGCGGCGCACTATCCAGTGCGCCACCGGGCCGGCCCCTAAACAATTTTTTAAATGGATCAGTCAACTCAAAATGTCATGAGGTTAAATGCCTTCAATTTCAACATACAAAAAGTATAGAAAGTAATTCTAATTTCTAATCCTTACATATGTATATAAAAAATCATATCAAAACTTTAAAATGTAATCTTAAAAAATGTTTCCTTTAACACAATTATTAAATAGTTACTTGGCCATTACTTTTTAAAAAGTCACCAACACTGTGAGACCCAAGGCTGTAGGGAGATGGCATTGTGTCTGTAGATCTCTTCTACCCGAGTCATAGGACACACGAGGCTGGAGTTCTACCAGTGCTGCCTCTAAACAGCTTTGTACTCTTGGACAAGCTATTTAACCTCCCCAAACTTCAATTCCACCATCATTAGTACTCTCCAAACATATGTTCCAAGGAATATTAATCTCATGAAAAAGGGTTCTACGGTCAAATTAAGTCAGAAACTGCTGCACACAATTTCTCCCCATTAGGAAATTCACAATGTGCATTAACGTTATTAAAGGCTCTGAGAAGTCCTGCAATATATTTGTTTAACGCTGTATCAATCTTAGTTGACCTCAGAATCCCTTTACTGACTGACACTTAATATCCTGTGGACTATACTTTGAAAAAAAATGGTCCAGCATATATCAGATCTCTTCTAGCACTGACATTGATGAACGGTAATGCAGCAATGTTGGAAAAGTAATGTAGAGTCTTCTGACACAGGCTCGGGGGAATAAGGGAGGATTTAGTGACCCTGGTGTTGACAAGGCACTTGTTCATGCTCACTGGCCCCGTGAAGAACAACATGAGTCCCTTGTTCCTTATGAAAGTACACATTCAAGGAAAGTGGTAATAATTCTGTCACAGAATCTTGGTGCCCACCTACAATACAATAAGAAGCAAAACTCACCAAGAATAACGTTATCTTCAATACAGGTTAGTTTTCCTTTCCAGTATGACGCATTTTTCTCCATACCAATGCTTTTGCCACTTTCCACTCAACTTTAATAGAATCCCTGCCCTTTACCCACTTCCTTGTCCAGAATGAAGTCAACTCGCAGGCAGACTGTCAGGCAGTCTTCAGGTTAAAGAGCTGCTCTTCCAAGAAGGCACCCCCAAGGCCATATTGTTCTTCATGCAGACTAATTTCTTCAGGTGACAAATGGCTTGCTCCAAGAATAAATTCTGCAAATCTAATAAATTTTTTTGTTTTAAATGAAGTTAATGTTATCACAGAAAGGTTTATTTGGGAGATTACACATTTGCTTGCTACTTACCCCTTTAATTAAATTTGACTTTGTGTCAATTGAGGATGGCATTTACACAGTGGGTATAAAAATGGAAATGGCTTATGCAATGTGATCTTTCTAGAGACAGATATTCACAGAAAGAGTAGAGAAGTAGGTAAACTTATAAGCACCAAGTACAGCCAAATGTACTCACTCCTGTTTTCTCATTCCTTCTCTTCTCTATTTTTTATTAACTTAGATTTATATTCAATATTTTAGTGTCAAATAATTTCCCCTCTCAATCTTTAATTTAAGGGCATTGTTATTTGAATAACGCTATGAAGAAGGGAAAGCAATAAGGGAAGGTGTTGGGGCAGACATGTCTTTCTCCGTGAACTTTAAACTGATTTTCCACACCAGCAGAACGAGAAGCAGGCCACATATTCTATTCCACCCTTCTCCTTCCCTTCTGGAATCTATCTTTACGGCCTTTCCTACGAAACAACAGATCAATGTTTATTCTGACAGTAGCAGTCCTAACTGTGCAAAGTCAGAGGACTGAAGAAAAAGAGCCTCTGACAACCTCCACATCATCTGTTATCCAGGGAAGGGGTCTGCTTCTAAGCTGAAGTGCCTGTACCAAACCATCATATTATTTTCAAAGTAATTCTAACCCAAGCTACGGTCCGAGCAGCTGAGGAGGGCTTACTTTTTCGGAGCCTGGAGTCTGGAGACGACCAGCCACGAGGGGAAGCCGGGTCTGCGGCAGGCCTGGCGCAGTTCCTCCAGCGCGCTGCTCGTCTCGGCCTCGGCTTGTTCTCTGTATTCGTCTTCAGTGAGATGCTTCACCACCAGCTTTTCTGATGTAAGCCATTGCTTCACTTTCCTAAAACACATGGGATGTGGTTGCTAGGTTCCTTCCTAATTCAATCCTTAAGATTTACAAAAATGCATTTATTAGACAGTAAGAGCAATACTTAACTTCCTTTACATCATATGTATACACGTTTATTGTTGTGATCATGACTGAAGTATAGAGAACAGATAGTTTGGGCCTAACTGTACATTTCCCTGCTTCCTGAACTATCAAAAATAGTGTTCTAAGGCATTTGGGAATCATTTCTGATAGAGATGTTAATTGTATTTTTCTTCCTGGGTGATTTTTAATCACACAATTAGACAATTACAAGCCTGGCTTCTTTAAGCTTGGCCTGCCGCTTTTCTTGGGCACTAACAAAGCAAGCCTTTGAGATGTCCTTTTATGGAGACCCAGGAGAACACTCTCCACCTACTCTCTAGACCAAGAAGCTAGTAAGATTTGTGGGATATCACTTCCACCTAGTGGTAGTGATTCTGACTAATTCTAGAGAGAAAGTAAATATTGTACAAAGGTCTTTTATGTACAATAATTTATAATAATTCTCCCTTCACTACATGCTGAGGAGCCCATGATTGGTATTTTCTTTTTCCAACCAATAAAGTCCCAAATCTCATAAAATGTAGGAATCTAAACATTTAGGACTCTAAGAATCTCAAAAATAGTAATAGTGACAAGGTTTTAAAAACATTTATATTTATCAATGAGTTTTTAAAAATGTTTTGGGATGGCTTTAAATTTAATTTAACCAGAGATCTCAAATTTGAATGAGCATTAGAATTACCAGTAGTTTTTAAAACATACAGTTATGTGTCACTTACAAAAGAGATATGTTATGAGAAATACATCCTTAGGTGATTTCGTCGTTGTGTAAACATCACAGAGTGCACTTACACAAAACTAGATGACATAGCCTACTACTCTCCTAAGATACATGGTATAGCCTACGGCTCCTAGGCTAGAAACCTGTACAGCATGTCACTATTGAAAACTGTAGGCAACTATAATACAATGGCTAGTATTTGTGTATCCAAACATATCTAAACATAGAGAAAGTAATGCATCGATGCTATGACATCACTAGGTGATAGGAACTTTTCAGGTCCATTATAATCCTATGGGACCACTGTTGTACATGCAGTCTGTCACTGACTGAAACATCATTAATATGGCACTTGACTACATATATTTTCTTGGGGGCTGGGGCCTTAAAAAATCTATCTTTTAAAGATCATTTAATGATTGATGAGCTGGATTAAGAAACCACTGACATTATTTCCTTCTCCTTTTCTGAATACCCAGCTGCGGTTTCCCTAGAGGAAAAATCCTGGACTGTGAGCCAGAAGACTGGGATACAGTCCTGGCTTTGAGATATACTCATTTGTGAACTTGGGCAATTCCTTAACAGTTCTGAGTCTCCACTTTGCTCATATGAAAAAATGAATGCAATAATATTTACCTATGAGGTCACTGTACAGATGAAATGAAATATTTTGTGTAAAGTGCTTGGCACAGTGAGTGGTCTGTAAGTGTTCAATAAGGATAATCAAAAAAGTAGCTGCCACTATTATTAAAATACATGTAAATAGCTCTTTGCAAACTAGAAAGTACTACAAAATCAAGGTATTATTTCACTGGTTTATTATTTAATCTATAAGTTCCTATTTTATTCCTTCATCGTTCATATAATTAATTATTCACTAGCAAAATTTAAAGTTGAGGAAGTTACAGTACATTTTGATTATTACAGAACAAACAGCAAGGTCATAAAAGAACCATCGTGCAGCTGACAGGATACACTTTGTGGCAGGGCAGGTGGATGGTTAAAGGGAAGGAAGAGGGAATTCAACCCTGGGTTCTTCAGGCCACAAGCCTGGCAAAGGGCAGGGGCCTGGAGGATATGAAATGGCCGGCCTCCCCCTGACAGAGACCTTTGGCAATCCTGGTCACTGTGTGCCTCAGGCAGATGGGGCAGAGAGAAACGGTCAGCGTGGCCCCATCTGACCCTGCCCTCCTGCCTTTTAGCCTCGCCAGTGTCCTCTGTATAGGCACCCTATCTTCCCACTGGTACATTTTTAACCCTGTGATAATGCCACATGCAGTCACCAGATCCAGAAACTACCAGTCACCACAGAGTCTCCTTCCTCACAGCCAATTTCACCTCTTAAACACTTATTAAACCCCTCTTCCAGCCTTGGTCTCACTGCCCCATTCCAGGCTCTCATCACCTCTTGCGTAGACGACTGTGATGTCTAATAACTGGTCTCCTGCCACAGGGGCCACCCCCTTATGTCTGCCCTCTGTGCCGGAAGACAGATGGGTCCCATCCTGCAGGCCAATGAGTGTTCATGGTCTCTGGTTGGATTTTCGTTTGTTGAATGTATTTTTATTATTAATTAGATTATATGCCAACATCTAAAACTCGTAAGAATTCACATTCTAATCCTCCCTAATCCCCATTTCCAGCTGTTTCAGAAAACCAGAAGATCTGGCAACACAGGACCCATATTCCCACATGGCAGCTGTCAATGCAAGCTGAGTAGTAACTGTCACCTATTCGATGAGGCTGCACTGAAGAACTTCCTCCAGTCTTCATGGTCACCCCACTGCCATACACCAGCTCAGCATCACTCACCATAATACCTGCCCAGGGCCCAGGCATTTGGATTTAAAACTCCTGTCTAGGCAGTAGTCAGAGAGAGCTAACTCAAATTCGTCATGGTTAACTGTGTTCAGGATCAGACTAGATTCCTTGGCAAGGCCTGCAGTGCCTCGACCTGGCCCTGCCCACCTCTCTTGCTGCACCAACAGCACTGCCTGTCTTGTGATGGCACCAAAAGGGCAGCGAGTCTTCCACATTTACTCCCCTGGCTATTTTGATTATTCTTTAAGATTCAGCCTAGTAACTTCTCCTCCAAGAAAGGTTTCCTGAACTTTCTCTGTATCTCCCTAGTCTTTAGGTAAGCCTCCACTTTAACACTGAGAGGATGTAGAAATGTATGCCTATGTCTCAGCAAGCATCCCTCGAGGCAGGGACCATCTCCATCTGCACATCTGACATGAAAACAGGTGCTCAGGCTCAAGACAGGAGAAACATAACAAAGCTGTGACAACAGAAGCTGCCTCATCTTTCTTTCTGTACTTTCAAAGGGCTTGAGCCTAAACTTAAAACCGAAGAGAAAAGAAAGCCCTAAATATAAATAACACTAAATAACCCTAAATATAAATAACAATCATTTATGATTCATTTGTTTCCTAACTCTTATTTCATAAACACAACAAATACCACTAAAGAAGTCTTTGGCTCTAATGAAAGGAGAGGTCTAATAAAAGAAATTTTAGGTAGCCTAGAGCCCAAGTAATTTTGCCACTGATTTTAATAAATTCTGGGTGAGCTTCAATTACCTACTGGTGTACCTCACAGAGGTACCTCTGTGGTGTACCTCTAAAAGATTAATGAAGACTAGAAACGGAGATGGGATCAGATGCTTGGAGCTTTCTTTCCTCCCCTCTCTGAGTGAAATCTCCAGATTAAATGTATTTAATTATGAGATTAAATATGATGTGTCCAAAAAATCCCCCAAAACAATAAATAAAACTAAATGCCAAAATGTCAAACTTACTAGGAAAAAAAAAAGATACACACCACCTCATGTAACTTAATGCTTTCAGTGGGTAGTGCAGACTCCAGGAGCACACGAGGAGGATCATAGCTGCATAGGCGAACTGAGGCACTGCCACACCAGCGTAGACTAGAACCAGGGAGAGGAGCCGCAGCATCCACATCAGAAGACGTCTGCTCCAGATGTCAACAAGGGGCCCATGTTTGTAACAGACAGCAAAGCTTAAAGATCCAACTATCAAGACATAGCCTAGAAAAACAGAAGATGGTAAAACAATGTAAATCTGCACTTGAAAAATTATGTGAAAAACCTGGCAGGGCCTTGACTCAAAGGTAAGAATGTATCAGAAAACCTTAATTTTTGTTTTCTTTTCCCAATGAAGTAAGATTGAAAAATGCATACAGGGCTAGCTATTCTTTCCACATCAGATACTATGCTGACTTTTGAAATAATTTGGGATATATAATAATTATTATGATATATAAACATGTCTGTCTTTTAGTCTAGTGTCCTAGATAGACAAATGTCATCATGATTGCTTTGGTCAGGAATAAGTCACAGTGTATGTCACAGTCTGCTACAAACCTTATTTTTTATTTTTACCTTCTAGTTACAAAAAGAAAATGTAATTTGACAGTGGAGGGATCAGGTGCCCTGTCACCATCCTAATCCAGTGTCAGTCTCATCATTACTTATGGTGGAACTATCAGACATTGTGCGTCTCCCGTTATGATCCAATGTGAAATACACATCACCTCTTATGTATTCAGGAAATGTTACAATTAAAAGAGATTTACAGGACTTAGCAGATAACAAAATGTGCTTCTGGACTATATCCTAGTTTATACAAACCAGCCATCAAGGACAACTGGGAAATTTTAACATGGCCTGGATAACAGATGATTTTATATAATTATCGGTTTTTTTAGATTTATTAGTTACTTGATTATACAGGAAAAGCCTCTTGTTTCTGAGATGAATAGTGAAGTATTTAGAAGAGCATACCACGATGTCTGTAGTTTACTTTTAAAATACTTTAGTGTAAAAAGAAAAATGAGCCAAAAACAAAATTTTCAAGTAAAACAAACATTAATTGTTTTTGTTTGAAGTGGGATGAACTTGAAGAAATCTAATGTTAAGGGTTAGAAGAAAATCGATTCTCTCATTTCCATTATTTCTTAATTAAAACAAACAATAAAAAGTTCTTTTTTTGTTGGTAACACAAAACAGGGAAAGTGAATGGCTTCTTAGCCTGTTTCTGAAAAGTCAAGTTTCCATTAGTCATTTATGAAATCTAGGATTTCTCACCTTTCATATTGAATACATTAAGAAAAGGAAATAAAGAGCCACATTTTACATTACAATTTTATATTAAAAGTTAGATGTGGTTAAGGCTTAACTACAATTCGGAAGCATGTACAGTCAAAAGGGACACATACATTTTTTGCTCTTTTGATCACCAGTATTGAGAACTAAGAAAGATATAATAGAGAAATAGTCTAAAGTGAGATCTAAATAAACTGAAATCACCAAGTATGGGAATAAAATAAGCAAAATATTATTTTTAATGGCAGCTCTCCTCAGTTCAAAATGAAAATTTAGATACTGGAGAGAAACATACATCAGGAGAAGGCCTCTAGTTGTACTTTTCAGTTTTATCAGTAATACAATTTTTTTTTATATTTACCTACCTAATATACATATTCTGTTTTCATACCACAGCCACTTGAGATCTTCCATCAACAGGCACACAACATAAACTGAAGCAAACCAACAACCAACCATTAGAGCCCAAAAGGTGCTATACTGTGTGTGGAAGAAAATAAATGACATTTTTTGGTTCATTCACTCTCATAAAAATAGAAGCAAACAAATGAACTCGTTTTAGAAACTTCTACATCAAACTCTGAGGTCAATTTAAGATACTCTAGAAAGTCTCACTATTCAAGGTATGGTCCACGTGATCAGCATCATGTGGGAGCTTGTTGGAATGGCAGGTGCTCAGGCCCTGGCTGCAGACTGCTGAATCAGAATCTGCATTTTAGCCAGATCCCCAGGTGGTTTGCAGGTACATTAAAGTTGGAGAAGCATGGTTATAAAGAGTAAATTATCTAAAAATAATGCTGGTGTTGCGAGCTTTAATCAGAGTAACTGCAACATTACCATCATGAATTAATATTTATTTATCCTCAGCTGAATTCAGGGCTTTACTTTATTGAAGGTGTACTGGGGAACTTATAATAGTGAAGAAATCACCAGATGCACCAATACTGTTATTCAAGGCCCCAAAGGTTGAGCATCATCAGAATCCTAAGTTCTGTCAAGAGAAATCTTCACTCAAAATAGAATCAGCTTCCTGTCATTCATTAAAAAACAACAAAAACACCACCTAGAAAATAAAAGGGTCTCAAAAACGTATCACCAAATCTTAATATTTAGTTAAGCCCTACATACAGTAATAAATGAAAATGGAATCTCCAGAATAAGATACATTTTAAAGCCAGTTTACATAATGAAGGAACATAGCTTGAATTAGGAACTACCATAACATGAATTAATTTCTATAAGTTTTTCACGTCTATGAGATCATGGTTTCCACTTTTTATTCATTTGCAGACAGTATGCCTACCTTTGGAATGTATCTTTTCACCAACAGCAGGACAAAGACTAATGTCATTAGAACACCTAGTGCGGTCCCAGAAGAGTAATAGAATATAGGGCTTCTGTCAAGACAAGTAGATAAAAGCCATTTAAATGCCAAGTAGCACTTTCAGCATGAAAAACATGTTTAACCTGGTGACAGTAGCCATAAAGAATACTAAGAAAGAAAAACTCAGATGTATACTCTGAAAAGATGAAATCAGCACTTGAAATTTATAGTAAATAGCTTGCTAACTCAAAATGTCTCAGTTATCTTCTATAGTCAGAATCTGATCTGACAATAATTACTGAGCACCTAGAATGTACCAGGCATTTGCCTGAGAGCTTTACTTGCATTCACAATGGCCTGTGAAGCAGCTATCCATGTCTAAGTTGTATAGAAGAGGAACCTAAGCCACCAAGAAGTTAAAAGACCTTCCCCAAATCAGTATCTGCGAACAGGAAGATTCAGGATTGCAGCCCAGCTCCTCTGAGTGCAAGCTTTACTCTTCCTGCTATGTACACATCGTCTGGTTCACAAAGCTCATGCATGACATTAAACACATTTGATTATACTATAAGCAAAAGCTCAAAAATGAGCAATGTTAAAAACAGTTGACAAATGCTGGGTACTAACTAGCATGAGCAAGCTAAGAAGTAAAATTTTGGAAAGAGTTTCCTTTTTCACAAGAGAAATTACAAGAAACAAAATATCAGAATAATACGTTTATCCAAAAGTTGGATATTTGTTAAATTCAACCTTCTGTATCAGAGCCACAAGTCTTGGAGGCAGCTCTAATGTAATGGAGAGAGGATGGCATCAGAAAACCTGAGGATAAATATCAACATAAACATTTTATGTCAATGTAATCTTGCTGAAAGAAAGTCAATTTACTAAAATGTCACTCCAAAAAAACTGAATCCAGAAAGTCAAGAATTAGTTGTGTGATGATCTATGTTGATTTTTGCATCATAAAATGTGTACACAGAGCTCACAGTTGTTATGAGGCTCTAATAAATAAAATGTTAATACATAAAATAATGTATGTGAAAGCATTTTGTAACACACATATCATGATATAAAAATAACTGTTTTTAAAGGTCTTTCAAGCACTGTCTTCAGACCTATTGTTTGCAAAACCTAAGGCAAGAACTACAAATGCACAGTAGTAAAATATTGGAAACAGGTTCTTTTTTCGCAAGAAAAATTACAAGAAACAAAATATCATATTAAAAGGGGCAAAAAATAAAAATTTTTATTTTTATTTTCCATAAAGATGGAAATGTTTAGCAGGGTCAAAAACGACCTCTACGGTCAAGATGGCAGAACAGACAGTCCCCAGCATCACTCTCTCCCATAAATCAACCAATTTACAACTTCAAAAGAGCAACAACAGCCAAGCTGGGGCTGCTAGAGCTCAGAGGAAGAGGAGGAGAGACCTACAGAGTGCATGAAGGCAGGAAATGCCACGATGACAGAAAGAAAAAACTGCTCTGACCGTTTTGAATCCCAGCTGCTTCCAGGCTGGAGCTGCTGAGCACATGGAGGAGCTGGCAAAAGCCACAGCTGTGCCCTTCAGATGAAGTTGCTTGGAGGCAGCAGGGGAGAAGAGGGCTTTGCTGGCCCCCACAACAGCAAGACCACTAATAAGGTTCCTGTGGGCCCACATAAGAGGGAGGAGCCACAACAACTGAAAAGAAGGAGCCACTCAGAGGCCAGTGAGTCATTGCAAGGAACCAAAAAGCATGGCCCACCCCATGGAAAGTGTTTGGAGCACAGGTGGTGGTGGAGATGGGCCCACTGGGGGAACACCAGGGCATAGCAAAGGCAGCTGATCTGCCCCACAGTCTGCACAGGACCACTCAGAGGAGACTGGTCAGGAATACAGAATTGCATGGGGTAGAGTTTGATGTAAAGACTCAGGCCCAGAACAGAGTTTCTACACAACCCAGGTGCACCGGATCTCACAAGAGCCAGAAGTACCTATAAAGTCAACCATTAAAACCTGTGCAGCACAAAAAGTCTTCCCAGGGGAATCAGCAGCAAAGCAGCAATTTAGCTCAACCACAGGGCTCAAGGTGCTGGTGCCCACAGGACGTTCCCCCATATTAGAAGTAAGCAAAGGACAACAAATTAGTTCTAGCACAGAGTTTAAGTGGAGGGAACAGCAAATAATCCAACACAGAACTGAAAGAAAAAACAAAGTACCCACAACCAGAGACAAAGTTTGATATTAACCAGTAAAGGTCTCATTTCACCAAAGAATACCTATAACACCTAGAAGGACTGGAAGTCCCCTGGGCTATCAAGCCAGAAAGGGGAGAGGGCCAGGGGCCTCAGCCATGCCTCCCAACACCTGCAACCAGTCCCAAGGGTGGGGAACGAGGGCCTCAGCCACACCCCCTCAACACAAGCAACCAACCCAGTGATGACCACTGAGCCACTGTAGGAAGCACCCCAGGCTCTGCTGAGCTGGGGCGATGAAGGGCTGAGGGCCTTGGCCACATCCCCACAATACCTACAACCAGCCCAGCGACGACCACTAATCCATCACAGGAAGCACCTCATGCTCTCCCAAGCCGGGGCATTGGAGGGCCGAGGGCCTCGGCCATGCCCCCTGACATGTGCAACCAGCCCAGCACTGACCACCAAGCCACTGCAGGAAGCACCCTTGGCTCTCCCAAGCCAAGGCAGTGAGGGGCCGAGGGCCTCAGCCATACACACCCCCCCAACATGTGCAACCAGCCCAGCAACAACCACCAAGTCTTAGCAAGAAGGGCCCCAGGTTCCCGAACTGGCATGGTGGGGGGCAAGGGCTTTTTCCACACCCCCCTGACTCTGCACCCAGCCCACCAATGACTAAGCCACTGCTGGAAGCCCCCTGGTCTCCCCTGTGGGAATGAGGAGAGTGCCACAGGCCTCAATCCCACCCCTCCTCCTCCCTCCTCCTTCCATCCCATTTCCTTCCCCCTTTCCCCTCTCCCCCTCCCTCCCAACTGCTCTGCAACATCACAGAATGTAAAAAATAATTATATTAATAAAAAAAAGGCAAATTAGTTTATGTAGAGCTAAAACAAAACAAAACAAAATGACCTTTACCCCTTTGATTCATAAAGTTAAGAATGTAAAAATGAATACTTACTGACTCAAGGTCTTTGCATAAAAGAAAAGGAAAATGCCTGCCACAAACACCAGGAACAGTTTGAAATCCACAACTGGAGTAAAAAAGACACACAAACACAACAAACATTTTGTGTCAATGTAGTGTTGAGGAAAGAAGAGAACAGTCAATTTATTGAAAAGTCACTTCAGAAAAACTGAATCCAGAAAGTCAAGTATAATAAAAACAGACTTACCATTTCGATTCACTCTTACTGTATACATAAATACCTTCCTCACAGGCTTCACAGAGAAGCACACAGTCTCCCCGTATGGATTGATGATTGTGGCTACTTCATTAGACTCCTTTGGTGTCCAAAAGTTATGAATCACACATTTGATCAAAGATAGAATGGTTTCTGGATACTGGCAATTATGTCTTTCTGTAATATATACAATACTGAGCAGGCCTGGACTGGTAATTTTCACCTACAAAACATGAATAAATAAATCCATAAACAAAGAAGCAGGAACTTCTTATAAGCTTTTTAAAAACATGAGCAGAGGAGTAAAGAGAACCCAAGACTGGCTGAATAAAGAACACTCAGATGCTCACGGTCAGGTTCGGATCCCAGGGTGGACCCTACAGATCTGTGTTTAGTTCACACACACACTGCACCACGGACACTTTTTTTTTTTTTTAAAAGATGACCGGTAAGGGGATCTTAACCCTTGACTTGGTGTTGTCAGCACCACGCTCAGCCAGTGAGCGAACCAGCCATCCCTATGTGGGATCCGAACCCGGGGCCTTGGTGTGATCAGCACCGCACTCTCCCGAGTGAGCCACGGGCCGGCCCACCACGGACACTTTTGAAAGTGGATGTTTCTTCCCAAGTTGTGGTTGATTTAACTCCCTCTTCTAGCAAGTTATTGTGGCCAAAAGACACGTAAGAAAGGATGAGATAGAAAGTAATAGGTGGCAAACTACATGGTTATAAACGTAACGAGAATAGGGTTTGTATCTCCACTGATTTCTACTGTGATTAAGAAAAAGCACTTCCTTCCTCTGGATCAGCTGAGCACATGCAATTCAGGCTTCCCTCACCATGCCTGGTTCTGAAGGACCAGAACCCAGTTTCACAAGTCACACAACCAAGCACTAGCAACATGGCCAAACAGATGGTAACAACTAAGTGGTCACTAAATGACAATTCCACTTCTGCCTTTGTCAGTCCCTCTCTCTACTCCTCTCCTCCTTTTTTTTTTTGTCTTTTTTCGTGTCCGGCAACAGATCGCAACCCTCAGTGTCGCGCCCATACCGGACCGGACTGGCAACGGGATCGCAACCCTCGGCGTCGCGCCCGCACCTCGCTCAGCCAGCGAGCGGGAACCGGTCTGTATGTGGGATCCGAACCCTCGGCGGGAGCGCCTCCACACTCCCAAGCGGCGCACTGCAGCAGTGCGCCACCGGGCCGGCCCACTACTCCTCTCCTTTATCCAAGAGTAGAGCAAGCCTGGAAAAGGGAATGAGAGCACCAGCATCCACTGTCTATCCACCAACCCCCTCATTTCTCTTTGACTTTGGCTCCTGGGGTTCACTGTTGCTCTCTCTCCAATACTACTGCCTCTCATTCTTCTTGGGAATTTCAATATACACAATACATTCACCAAAATGCCTTCCAGGACCCTACCCTCAGCTTCTGGAACTCCTCCTATGTTCTTATCCTCCACCCCACCTCAGCCAATCACTCCCATGGCAACAACCTAGACCTCATCAGTAAACTGCAGTCCTTCCATAACTGTCTTTCATGCACCCTCTGGCTGACCACCACCTCCTTTCTTTCCAGTGTGCTTCCTCTAACACCTGACCCCATCAAGGATCTGAACACCTTTCTCCCAAGCCTCACCCCCTTGATGTCCTCAGTCCCTTCTTACCCAGCTAAATTCCATGTTCAGTCATTACATACCATCCCCTTGCACCTACCCTTGACTCCTTTGCAGCCCTCTTGCTTTGTCAGGCTCACCTGCAAAATCCAACTCTCCATCTATTCCACTTTTATATTTGCACCACCGACTGTGCTAGAGAAATGCATGGTGGTCTCACTTCAAATTCATGACTGTGAACCTGAAGTGGGACCTAAAAGCAGTAGTCATTCATACCACATACTCCTATCCATTCATTCTTCCACTCTCTCCAGCAAGTGATTTCACACTTCTTCCTCAACACTCCACACCTCCTCCCCATCCTCATTCTCGGCTGATGATCCTTCCTACTTTGCTGAAAATGGAAGAAATCAGAAGCAACTGTCAACAGGCTCCTATCCCCCCATCCACCCACCCATAAGCATCTGCAGGCACATGCTCTGCTTCCTGCCTGTGGGGAGGAAATGTACACACTCCATTGAAGTCAATACCCGATTTGTGCACTGGATCCTACCCAGCTTTGCCTACTCAAGGACATACCACCAGAACTTCTTGCCTCTCTACGAGATCATTCCTATCAGCGTACAACATACTCATAATTTTTCCCATTTAAAAAAGAAAAAACAACTTTTTACAGACTCCCCTATCCCCTCCAGCTGTCCCCCATGTTTTTGCTTCTCACTGCAATAAAATTCCTTTTAGAAGTTGCCTATGCCTGTAGTCTCTAGTTGCTCTCCTGTCATTCTCTCTTTAACCCACTTCAATCACTTTCACCCCAAACAGGCTGCCCCAACACAGTCACCAGTGCTTCCATGATGCTAAATCAAATGGACAATTACTTCTCTGTCATCCTATTGGACCTACCAACAGCACTTGGCACTGCTGTTCACTCTCTTCTCCTTGTTACACTTTCTTCCCAGGGCTTCCAGGACATATCCTTCTTCACTTGCTGTTCCTTCCTTCTCCCACACCTCTTAATATAAGACTTCCCAGGCTCAGTCATTAGTCCTCTGTGGGGTACTGAATAAGCAAGCTGACAAAGTCCTTGCTATTCTAGGGAAGCCAGCAAAGCTGGCACCCCTTTTGCCTACTTCCCCCTTCTCCCTCCCCTTGAGGTCTGACCTTTGATTGAACCCAGGACGCTGGAAGCTTTGTAAATAAGAAACTTATGTTCTTATTTTGTTGATAAGTAGTTAGCTGTGAATCTTCAATCTCTTTTAGCTGCCATGGCAGCTGAAAATATTCTACAGATAACTTGGTACCAGACATAACAGATTTAATCCATACAATTTGTTATTTTCACTGGCTTATAAAAAGAAACCTAAAATAAACTAGGATGCCTTACAGGTCAGCAGCCTGAAAGGTCCTCCTGATCCCATACGTGCCTCTCTACATTTCCCACCGTCTCCCCTCAGGATACTTGTTGGTGACAGTCCTCTTCTCCATTTAAACTCATTCCTTAGTCTACTGGCTTTAAGTGCCATCTACATAAATATGCATCGCTGATTATTTTTGATAAAAGGAACACAGGAAAGATATACCAGAAACTAGTAAGACTGATTGACTACAAGGGTTGGAGTGGAATGAATAGAAAGAATGGAGGAGTGACACTTCTCTGAAAATACCTTTGTGGAAAGTTTTGACTTCTAAGCCACATTAATGTTGTATGTACTTAAAAATAATAATGATAAAATCAGCCAGGATGGGGAAAAACCCTGAAATGGAAACAAATAAAACAAACTATATCCCAAATGGATTATATAACCATACTGAAGGTATGAATATACCGAAAGTATGGATAATATAGCCATACTGAAGGTATGAATATACTGAAGGTATGAATGATATAACCATACTGAAGGGCGGGGTGGGAAGGAATAACCCCAAGTAACTTTTGAGCACAATATTAAGACTACATACCCCCAAACTAAGTATAAAAAACACTGTAAACAAATATCGAACTCCTGTTACTATGTTTGTTTCTTGCAATAGCATGACTTAGCAATTCTGAAACATTCAGTATATTCTAGGATTAGGCAAATGAATTAATGTATTGAGGATAATGGGAACCAGGTTTCTCACTATCAGAGAAGAGAGTCATAAATATGGAGAGTAGAAGACTAGAATGAACCCTGTGGTTTTGGAAATACAAGAACTCATGCTTTTTAATAGAGAGGTAGATAGAAACATATATGTGCAAGTGTACGGGTGTGTATGTGTGTGTCTGTACACATGACAACAATATCCCAGTAGCAATGAACATATCTAAAGCTGAATGCTCCTTGGAAAAATGTATGATTCCAGAGCTAAATCTAGGAAATTACACAATGAGCCTGAAATAGAAGTGCTCAAAAATCTAGGACAATTTGAGTAACAAAATAAAAGAGAGTAATGGATTGTAGTCCACTGAATAAATTGGCAATTCATGAGACTATGTAGATATAAATAAATAGATAGGAGGAAGGAAATCTCTTCCTTATAGTAAAATGCCAATGAATATAAAAGGAATAAGGGAATTAGAAAATCACTACTTCATAAACATCATGTTGATAATTGATTCAGGCAAGCATCATCAATAGATGATAAAACTGTGGAGTGAAAGTTTGATGAGGAATAGGATAGTCTCAAATTATCTCCTCAAAATACTCATTCATTAAGAGCTTGGGAAAACAGTAATTTTACAGTGGAAGAACCTGACAGAAACCACCTTAACCAAGTGACCAAAGTGGTGTATCTTATCAGTAAAGGCACCAATCAGTATCATGTGCCTCCTCATACAATGTTCCAACTATTCCCTCAGTTCTTTCCCCAGATACCCTCTTGGGTAAGTCATTCACTTCACTGAAATCTTTATCAAATGTTACTTCTCAACAAGAACTATCCTGACCACTCTTTTTAATGCTGCAACTTGCCCCCCACTCCCCTCATCCTGCTTATCTTACTCTATATTTTCTTTCTTCACAGTATTTACTAGCTTTATCATTTTCTTCTGTTACACTTATCACTTACTATCCCACACCCCTGAGAATGTAAATATCCACAGTGGCAAGGATCTGTTTTGTTCTTGATGAATCCTAAGAGCCTAGAAATAGTTCCTGGCACTTAATAGGTGAGCAATAAGTATTTGTTATATGTTGAATGAAGGAAAGTACTAGGCTATTTAGAGCAACTGCTATCTTGGCCATACCTGGATGAGACATAACTCCAAAATTTCTATATGGAGGGGCTTGGGATAGCAACCCCTTGAACCACTGTGTGTGATCCCCAAGTCAGCTTTCATACTGATACACAGATCTATGTCACACAAAAGGTATCTTCTATTCTCAAAATGGTACATTTTAATTCCCTGTCCCTAAGACACGATTTAAAAGTAGACCCTTACCTGCACAGATGACCACATATATTTCCACTCCATTTGGGGATTTTGATAGTAGCAGTAACAATCTGAATCAGAAGTTTTAATTAAATCCATTTCCTTCAAAGCTTTACACCCTGGAACTGAGAGATGGAAAAGGAAATACATTTCCTAAATATTTAATTGCCCAGAATCTTTTTTTTTTTTAATTCACAGGGAGAAAATAGTCAGTGTTAACATACTGTGACCAATAAATTCTTCTACATGTTAACTACTGTACAGTCCTTCAGTCTTTCCAACCTAGCAAGAGACGGACAGAAAATATTACAGTCCAGTATCAACTCTCATGACATATGGAGGACACCATAAGAGCACAGAGAACAAGCATTTCTTCACTCCTAAAGTAGAGGATGAAAGTTAAGGGAAGCTTCCCAGAAAATATGAAATATGAGTGGAAGACTAAAGGATAAGTCGGAGGCAACAAGACAGAAGTCGGGGGGTGTGAGGAGGGTAGCAAGTATGTATAAAATCATGGAGATGGGAGAAATCATGGAAGTCATTCAGTTTAGGGATATCTGATTGTTATATTGGGGAGGAAACAAGGATGGAGCATAGGGATACACAAAGACATTTCAACACCTGCAGCTGGAGAGGTAAACAGTGGTTACTACTGCACTAGGGAACGTGGACTTCATGCCAGAAGCAGAACGCTGAAGGATCTTGGGTAAGTATCAGAGTCTCAGCAGGAAACTGTTGACACTCAAAAGGGTTAAGTAAAGACATAGGCAGGGTTAAGGTATTAACAACAAGGTACTGTGAAGTTCCCAGGCACCAGCAATAACCGGACGCTTTTAATCCCCCTAGGCCTGACATGGCAAAGGAAGGATACATGTTACTGGACCTACTGGAGTCGAAGGACAGTAGTCTAGTGGAATGACGTTACTGCCAGAACTTCAGTGGAACGGTGGGTGAGGATACAGGTACCTCAATTTCTCTCCTGCTCTCCTGTCAGTTGGGCCAAACCCAACAAGAAGACAGGGGGCAAAGAAGCCCAGATGACGCAGTCCACAGAGGCTGTCTTCCAGGCACTGAGAAGGGGAGAGAAGGGCTGAGAATGAATCTGCAGAAACAACCAGGGAATAACCAGCTCAATAAGGAAGAGACAGGGCCGGCCCGGTGGCACACTGCTACAGTGCGCCGCTTGGGAGCGCGGTGGCGCTCCCGCCGAGGGTTCGGATCCCACATACAGACCGGGCTGAGCGAGGTGTGGGAGCAACACCGAGGGTTGCGATCCCGTTGCCGGTCCCGGTCCGGTACGGGCGCGACACTGAGGGTTGCGATCTGTTGCCGGACACGAAAAAAGACAAAAAGGAAAAAAAAAAAAAATAAGGAAGAGACAGGAACACACTTGTGTTTTAGAAAGCAGTGTGGAATACCAGAGGGGAAGAGGACTGAAAGCAGAACCACTGAGGAGGCTCCTGAAGCAATCTAAGCAAGAAACAAACTAAGTGAGGAGGGAGAAAGGACAGGTTAAAGAGCACTTAGGAGGTGAAATCACCAGGCTTTGGAGATTCACTTGATGAAGGGGAACAAGAAGATGATGTCAAGGTTTCTGGTGAGGAGAGAGACAGTAAAGCCTTTCACTCAGATAAAAAAATACTGGAGAAGAAGGAATTTTGTGCATGAAGAGGGGGATAAGTTCCATTTGGGACATACTGAATTTTCATCAGTGGGTCAAAGTGAAGATGGACAGGTGTGAAGCCCAGGAAAAACCTGGCTGGAGACAAATGTAGATACATAAATATATATGTGTGTGGTATATAATATATAAATAATCATATATATATAATACTATAACACAATACAATAGAAAAAGAGATAGGTACTACATTACAGAGGGTTAATATGGTAAATGCCACAGGAAAATTAGAAAGTAATGGGGTTCACTTTCTTCTGTGGCCACTGCTATATTTGGATTTGAAATGATGTGGGTGAGAGCCATAAGTTCATCTAAAAGCAAGAGAGGGTATCACCACCATATCTGTCAAATAAGAAACAGGAACAGGGAACACTTATGGGTACACACAGAAATGGGCCTTATGCCCAAACCCTGACTCCTCTAAGGAAAGTGTGGTCAGTTTCTCCAGAATAACCTGAAATAAAGCCAGGACAACCTGCTACACCAAAGTTAAGGAAGGACTGGGTAACCAGTTATAACTAGTCAACAATTATATCCACTTAGGAAATATTATTGAATAAGCTCAGACAGGTCCCTGTCCTGGCTTGAAATATTTAGCATTAAGTTAGAGAAAAATGAAGACGGACTTCAAGAAAGGATCCTGAGAATGCCCACCACTTGCTGAAATACAACTGCATAAAAGTCAGGGTTCTTAGGAGGCTAAAGCAGGAAAGTTACATGAGGACTCAGTATATTCCACTGTGACAGTCAAATCATTTAATCTTTACTCCTAACATTGTGATAAAGTATATATATATTTTAGATATATCAACAAATTTAGAGTTTGAGAGTCTGAGATGCAAACACAAGAATCCAGGTTAAGAGCCAGGTTTCAAAAAGGCATGAGAAAGAAGCTCTAGAGGCTCTCTCTTAAATACAGGACACGAAAAATTGAAAGTGTGTTCCTTCATGTACTGTCTACACACAAGAGTCAAAAGGACAATGCAGAACCAGCTCCAGCAACACACAAAGCAACCAATGCTGAGGCACATTTTGGGGTATATCTAAGTGCAAACTACTCCTGGCCGAGGGCACCACAAGGGAAACGACAGTCCAAGGATGTCAAAGGGCTGGCAACGGCTGGAGAAAGATGAATGTCAAGGAAGGCAGCGCAGAACCTGGAAAAGCCTGAGCAACTGCAGTGAGAACACATAAGAACACATTAAAAGCCCTCAGCTAGGGAGCAACAGAGGCAGGAACAGGTCTCTGGACTCACCGGCCCGTACCACATGTTCTGCCTCTGCACAGCCTCCTGTGGGGTCTCTAAGCAGGAACCAGGGCTAAATCAGGTGGTAAGAGCTGAGGACTTTATACTGGGAGTCCTCAATGAGAGACAGACATTCTCACCTATTGTTGGAAAGGCAGTGCATTCCAGTGGGCAGGTGAAGAGCACGAGGCCTCAGGTCCACAGCCCCAGCCCCAGACACATAAGAATGTTTACTTCCATACAGTTCTTTCTTCACCACAAGTGTGCTCAGTACTAGAGGGGGGCTTTTCTTGTGGGTGCCTCCAGGGTCCCTCCCCGCAACTCCTCTCCTACTGAGCTCCCCTACTTCTAGGGCTGGTCAACTCCCACAGAACAGTTAGTTTCCTTTTGTTTGTGGTCTGAGGAAATATCCTCTTTGCGGGGCCTGAGCTTTGCAAACAAATGCTACCTTTAAATGAGGTTTTTTTCCATTTGGTCCTAAGACTGTCTCCTGAATCATTTAATACCTGCAGCTCTTAAGTGAAGAGCAAGGTGATGCAATTTAAATATAGTGCAGTAGTTTGAATTTAGGAGTAAATGTTTCTCTGTTACCCAAGCCGCGTTCATCTTGCACTTGGATTACTGTAATAGCCTTCTAGCTAGTCTCCCTGCTTTGAGAATTGCCCCCACGATTCCCCCCACAACCTATTCTCCAATCAGCATACCAACCTTTTTAAAAGTTTCAATCGGAGCACATCATTTACTGCTCAAAACCTTCCAGTGACTTCCTATAGCACCATAATAAAATCCACCCTCCCTTCCAAGGACCTGAGAACCTCTCTGACCTTCTCTCCTCCACCTTGCCTCCCACATGGCTATCCCTCCTGTCCTCCTCAAGATGTCTCAAGTTTCCTCAGCATGCAACCTTCTTCCCCCAGATCTTGACAGAGCTTGTGTCTTGCGATAACTGATGTGTTTACTCAAATGTTGCCTTCTCAGGAAGGCCTCCTCTGACCCCACTGTCTAAACTAGCACATCCCAACCACTTCCACCTGCTTCCTTCTTACTCTGCTTTATTCTTTGTATTACATATGTTTTTATGAGCTTACGCTCTGTCTCCCCATGAAGTTAGGGACACTGTCTGTTCATTTCCATATCCCCAGCATTTAAATATTCTTTTGTGTATGTGCTGCAGTTTGAGAAGATTAGTGGGTGGTTTGGGCATGTGTAGCTTAGCCAGTGAAAGCCTCACCAATCTCTGTAAGAGCCTGGCTAGTGCCAGTCAGCACCATAAAAGGTGTACTCTGGCCCTCCCCTTGAAACCACCTAATGGAATAGGACACCCTCTCCAACCTGTGCCACTGCCATCCCACCTACAGAATCTACACAGCATGAGGGCTATTCTGGAAGCCACAGGCTGTACCTGCCTCTTACCCTACCCCATCATCATCTACCCTTAACTAGAGGGTTGAGTGCTGGAATCCTTAATATTCTCTGGGCTGGGGAACATCTTGCTCCTCATTGGATAGAGGAGGTGAGGCGGAAGCAAGAGGTGATAACAAGGTTGTTTTTGTTTTACTCATTTACGGTACTACACTGCATTCTGTGTAAGGGACCTCCTGGATAGAAGAAGAGAACTGGCTCTGAATTTCTCCACAGTCTCCAACCAAATTAAGGGAAGTACAGATGGAGACAGGTTGCCCTAACTATTGATACTACTGATAACTATTGATACCTACAGACGCACTACTAAAAGCATGTTGCAAACAGCATCTCCTCTGGAATTCTCCAGAGTGGCCTCTGGCTTTTGAGGTGAAGCTGATATGGAACTTATATAATACATGAAACATTCTAGACAAAGTGTCAGCACTTCACGGCATCCTCTGGCTGCCCTCCTCCGTTCTTATTGCTTCTCTCCTCAGGTGACTGCATCTCAATCAACCTGCACAAGAATTGCTAAATAGCTAAGGTACCAGAAACTCAGTAAGCCACAGAGGCCACAAGCCTAGCCCCAAGTGAGTTCACGTGAATCTTAAGCCATAGGCTAATTGGACTAGGCCTAAGATACTGACTTGTGACAATCAAGATTGTTATCCTGGCTGGCCTACTGCCTTCCTGGAGAGACCAAATCTTGTAATCTTAGATTGATTATAAGTCTTTATGTCTTTCCTAGGCCTCTCCTCCCTTCAGCAGTCTTCTTCGAGAGACACTTCTCTGTTCAGTTTCTACATCCTCAATGTGCACCTGAAGGTGGAAATAGAAAATGTAGCCAGTTTGACTGCTTATTTGAATTCTTATCACCAAGCAAGTCCTGACACTAGAGTCTATGAAGCTGCCTGCATCTCTGCAGGTTTCATTTATTCATGCGGCCCCAGTCTTTGCTGGTTTACTTCTGCTAGGATGGAACCTCCTGGTGGTAGATGTAGGCAAACCCAAATATATCACAATAACAACCCCCTTACAATGTGATCCAGAAAAAGAAACAGAATTTCTGGAAACTTATAAAAATGTAATAATAATCATTCATTTGGTCAGAAAGGCACAATACCTGCCTAGGGAGAGCTACTGATTCCACTTGAGACTGAACTATGTTCCAACCCTGAAGGGTGCTCCATAACCTAGGTATTTGCTTCCTCGAACCTGATTCACATCAGGAGAAAGATCTGGAATTGTGGGCTATCCCAGCTGTGCCACATCTCCCAAGCACCTAGGATTATCTGTGGGACCAACCCTGGATGCCATCCTTACTATGGCAAGGCTAGTCTCTGCTAGTCATGCCCTGGAATGAGCATGGCCTTTCTTAACTCCCCACAGTCCTCAGCAGGCCTTCTTAATCCTTTCAATAAGCCTGACTTCTGGAGAACAGCATATTTCTGGACTGCTGTGCCCAAATCACTGAGACAAGTACATAAGGCATTAATTACTTACATTTCCAAAGGATTCAAGTCAATACATTAACCAATAAGACAGATCCCTTAGTCCACTTTAAATACCACTCAATTTATAAATATTCAATTAATCTAACGTAAGGACCGCATATCATATCAAAAAGGGACAGTTGTGTATCACCTACTTTAATTAATAAGTTCAATTTAAAATTTCTCTTTTTAGTACTTTTATCACTTGTCAATTTCCCTAAATGTATAAGTATATATTTAAGTTAAACAGTTTAGTCGTACATACAGTAAAAATATTCAGTCAAAACTTCAAAAAACAGGAGGTAGTACTTAAACTTACTTACAGAATATGCTAAAAATAAGAAGCACAAACACTTCTCAAATCTTAGTAGATCTTAACCTCCAACATAAAAATATTCCACCAATGTTCCTCCTGAAAACATAACCTTACATGGGCCTTCATATGGGAAAAACTATCTTCAGATGAAACTAGAACACATAAATAATATAAGCACTTACTAAATTATATTGCCATTTTCTCCACTTGACCTATAACTAATTTCCTTTTGGGACAAGAAAGGGAAGGGAGAAGAGTAAAAAAAACAAAAAGCAAAAAAACAACAAACCTTAACTTGGGAGAGTTCAAATGGAGTTAGAATTTTTCTTGCTTTTTTTTAAATAAACTCACATTTTCAAAGGAGTTAGCATATAGCACAAAGTTACAAAGGTAACTATTCTATTAACCCTAGTTTTTTAAAACCCAAATATAAATCTTGAATTTTATTTCCCTAAGAACATGAAAATAAAACTGGAATTATGCTAATATACATTCAGGTCTGTTTTTAACTTCAAATGCAAATTTTTCTTCTCCACAGACAGATGTGAAAGCTGTGGTTTCAAATGGCCTATTGTTACAGTTTAAGCCTGGGAAGCCATTTCCGTGGCCTGAACCTCATCCTAGACAACACATGGTTTCTAGGGACCTCACCCACTGGTTGCAAATTATGGGTGACTCTTGGCTTGAAGTTTCTCTTCCTCTCAGCCAGACAACTACCTGCTCCTCCTGTGTCAACTGCCTCTGATTTTCCTCCAAATAGGCTGACAGAAAGCTGGCCTCAGTCTGGGTGTTCTCCATTCCATGGAAGGGTGTGTATTCAGGACAGAATTTTAGAACAGGAAGGGATCTTACATATCTAATCTAAGCCTCTCCTTAAAGAAGGACCCTATTTTATGGAAGGAAGTACCAGCTGTTCCACCTCTCAGTTCCTCACAGGACCTCAGGCTTTTAGAGCAGCAATGGTTCTTAGAACTAGTCCAATCCAGAGGTCCTGGCATGATGTCATCGGGATGCTACTGTATCCTGGATGCTTCACAGTCCACATTGTAAAAAGCCTATTTGGAATGGCAAGAGTCACTAAAAGCCTACAGACCTTGCCATTTTTCTTTGCTGTGGACTAAAATTTTATCAACTAAGTGGGCATCCTGCATGTCTCAGGCAGAGCAGAAGCTCTGATAAGCATTTGTGTCCTTGATTAACAAAATAGAGAAATGAGCTGTTACCACTAAACGTGGTAACACAAAAACTTGAAAAACATCGAGTTCACTGAGGCAAATAAAAGGTGGGAAAAAAATCGAAACCATTCAGCAATAAAACATCTTCATTTTACCGATGAGAAAACTATGGCCCATAAAGACTATGTGCCTGGACCAAGACTATCCCACAAGTGTGGCTGAATACAAGAGCTGAACTAGAACCCGAGGATCTGATTGTTGGTCTAGAGCTACTTCTAATTTTCTGGCTGCTGCCATGCTCAAAAACCATCCTCCTGGGGCGGCCCGGTGGTGCACTGCTACAGTGCGCCACTTCGGCGCTCCCCCCGAGGATTCGGATCCCACATACAGACCGGCCGCTCACTGGCTGAGCGAGGTGCGGGCGCAGCACCGAGGGTTGTGATCCCGTTGCCGGTCCCGGCCCGGTACGGGCGCGACACTGAGGGTTGCGATCTGTTGCCAGTCACGAAAAAAGACAAAAAGGAAAAAAAAAAAAAAACCATCCTCCTCAGATAAATTTGTATTTTATTTTTTCACCAGTATATACTTGTTATATTTCTTACTAATAAGCCTTTGTTTCCTCATCTGCAAAATGGGTATATAAATGGTCCCTACCCCCATAGGGCTTCTATGGGTAATAAACACGATAAATACTGCAGTTAAAGCAGAGTAACACTGCCTAGCACATAGTAAACACTCAACAAATGTCTGTTCAATGAAAACTGGTATAGAACCGTTCCCCAAGATATCTGCAAGATTCCCGTGGGTTAGCAGCTGTGGCAGAATCTGATAACTGCCTACTCAACATCCATTCTCTCCTTCATCCTTGAACATGAAACCCTAATTTTATTGGAGGGAGGCCCGTGCCCAGCTAAAAGACCACACTTGGAAGCCTCCCTTGCAACCAGGGGTGACCACTGTAATGAAGAGAAGTTGGTGAAGAGTGCATCCAGGAAATCTCTTAAAGGGTTTTACGGTGAAAAAGTGAAACAGAGATGTTATGCTCATAGCAAATCAGTAGCAATTCTGGAGTCATAACTCGTGTTTTCTGAGTTCCCCAGGTTTCATCCCCAGATCCTTCCCCATTGTGCCAGGTTGTGAGAGCACTCCATGGCCAGCCCGTAACAACTCTGTGGGCAGCTATCATTGCTTGTTTCCCAGGTACCACGAATTATGCACACGTTAAACATCACAATAATCCTGTAGGGCATCGTTATCCGCATCTTACATGTGACTAGTTATGTGACTCGCTCCCAAGAGCCAGTCGGGACAGGGAATTCTAAGGCTGACGCTCTTGCTTTCCCTACTCCTGGGTCCAGAGGAATAGCTAGATAAATAACGAAGGTTTCGACATAAGTTGTGTACTGTACAAAAGGCCCTGTATTGAAAGTCTGGAGACGAGGGTTAGCTGTGCCAGTGACTAGCTGCGCGACCTTGGACAAACCAAAACATCCCTGAGTTCGGTTGCTTTTGTAAAACGAGGGACCTGGGCCATTGCTTCTAGTCCTAAAGACACTAACTGTGCAAACAGCAGCAGAGACGAGGGATGTGCAGGACGGCGGGAAGGGCGGGCGTGGCCTGCTGCGCCCCGCGGGCGGCCCTGAAGCGTGGACGGGGAGCGCCCCACCCGGCTCCCGGGCCGACCGCGCCGCGCGGGGCAGGGAGCGGGGGAGCGAGTGCACACCCGCGCCGGGTGCCCGGGTTACCTGACAACGCCGCCGCCTCCTCCTCCCCCCCGGGAGGCGGGGCCTCCGCCTTAGTAGCGCGCGCGCCTCGCCGCCCTCCGCCTCCCTGAGGCCGCGCGCCATTTCTGCAGCTTTCGGCCGAGCCGGCCCCCAAGGGCGCGGGCCGC